GCGTACCCCCGATTGGGAATCATTGCTTTAGAGAAGCAATCAAGACGTGTAAAAAAAAAAACAAACAAACATGTGGACGATGAAGACAAATGGGAGCTGATCAGATTAGATGGAGATACCCTGATGGTGTGAACAAAAAACTCTGCCACTTTAACTATACTATACCATGGCAAAACACGGTGGTGGCAGCCATATGCATAAGAAGAGGATAATGATCACAGTTGCTACACGGATGGATGGAGCCAAATACAGGAAAATCTTTAAAGGAAACCTGCTGGGTAGATCCAAAGCTACAACTAAATGTTTTAGATATCCATCTGTTAGGAATAGCCCAGTCAATATCAACATAAAAAATCAGACTAGTCTCCTTTCTGACTGAGCAAGAGTCATTTTGCAAGTGAGAATGTTGATGAATTTCAGTCTCAGAATCTGCAAAAAAAAAGCCATTACAGACTTTAAAAGACATAAAGGTTGTTCTGAATAGTATCCTGTAAAATCCATGAATCATTTCTGTCTTTCAATTACTTCCTTCTGGTCTGTCACCAAAATCCAGTAAAAAAAAACAAACACTGATGTGTGAATTTAAGATGAAAAGTTTGAGGGGTATGAATACTTTTATAGAGGTCATTTGGAGAACTACATAAATTACAATCTAGGCTATTCTGCAATGGGCAACGCAATTATTAAAGATGACATTAACTATGCAATTAAATCAATTACTGCAGCTGATGAATTAAAGTGCTGTGAGGCTTTCTATAAGCTGGCCTCATTTAAGTTATTTTGCAATAACAAAAAAGCAGCTTTTTGCTCATGTGGGATAAATTTTGCCTTTTAGGTCTATGTTTCTTCCAATAAGAGAAGAAAATATGTCTTAATTCTTACACTCCTACCTGCTGAGTTTAAACATAAACAACCTTGGGGATTTTAAAGGCCCCAGTGGTGATTATAAACAAGATTAAATCCTAACATGGTAACACAATAACATGGTATAATGCTGAAGAGTCCCAGCGAACCGAGACCCGCGGTAAAGCTCCTAAAATAGCGCCTAGGCTTGGTACATGAAGACCCCTGACCTTTCCTGTTCCTGCCATCACAGCCAGGAACAGGTTACAAGAACAGATCGGAGGCTTTTTAAGGCCCCACGCGGCAGATTTCCACGCGTGAGCTGCGGCACCGCACACGAGCCAAACAACGAGACAAGATGCGAACCAACGAGGCAAACCTGATCTCTTTGATCGAGCTTTAAATTCCAGGAGTTTCCATCCGACATCAGCGAGGGTCGCCATGTTTACGCTCAGTCAAAGTCCCCGCAATTTAACAGCCGGTGTACTTTGTGCTCTTCAAAATAAAACAACTTCGCCGGGGGTTCGCAGCAAAATAAGAATAAATCATGTTTTCACAATTTAGAGAAAGCAAAAAACAATGAGAGTAAAGTATAGTCAAGTCTAAAAATCGTGGGGGGCATATTCTAAAGTGTTTTTAAAAAAGACATGCACTTACTTTGAAGAACGATTGTGACACTTCCTCTTCTCCTATCCTCCAGCTTTAAGCACCTGTCATCTGTCATGAAATCAGTTTTCGCGACATTAACGTAAATAACACAACAACCCATTTGAACGAATTGCATATTAATTTTAAAATACGTGACATTTATTGTAATAGGAAAAAACAAAAAAGAAAAATATTAAGAATTTCTGACTTTTATCGCTGTTGCATTTATAAGACGGTTATGTTGATCCCAGCCGTAAAGCGTTATGCCGTATTCCGATCGGTTGATGTTGTGGAGCTGCAGTTGTAGCAGGATGTGGCTGTTTACATTAAACGCTTTGCCCTATTTTTTGCTTTTATTGGGGAAAAGAAATGTCTTTGCCCTCCAAGATGTAACCGCGGAGCTTTTTGGGAGCGCTAAGTATGGGAAGGTGGCGGCGTTTGGCGACTTTAACTCGGATAAACAGACTGACATCTTCATCATCAGAGACCGTATGTAGTGCTTAGTGTCTCCAGAGCCTACAGCAGATAAATCTAAATATATAAAATAAGACATCGACTAGGGTTTTGGTTTTATTTATTTTTTTATTTGCTAATAAATGGTGTATGAACCACATTCCCTCTGTCTCCGTCGCTTGTTAAACAAACTTCCTTGTTTACTTAAACGTTACTTTTTTATTACAGGAGTAAAAACACAACATTTAAAACATAAAGTGACGTCATTAAGCTGCTAAAGAGTTAATTAAGCTCACCTGGGTTTCTTCACGAGACAGAAATTGCATCAGATGTACAATATTTTCAACATAGGAAAAAAATAATATGAAAAGCAGAAAAGATAAAGAAAGACATGTTTTTATATAAAAGTTGTTACTGTCACACAAGCTTTTAATTCATACCCAAAGTTAGATTAAAAATGTTTTTGTTTTTGTGGTTAATATGTCTAATTTATACGGAAGAGGATTAGGGCCACTGAAAAAAAAAAAGTTAACAGATTTTTAAATTTTATTTCAGTTTAACGTGGGGAAAAAAGTCAGAATTCGAGAAAAAAGTCATAATTCTCATTAAAAGTCATTAATCTCTGAGTATGACTTTAATCTCAGAATTCTGCCTTTTTTCTCAGAATTCTGCCTTTTTTCTCAGAATTCTGCCTTTTTTCTCTGAATTCTGCCTTTTTTTCTCTGAATTCTGACTTTTTTCTCTAAATTCTGACTTT